TCAACGACTGGAAGGTGAGCAGCGACCCGTACGAGCGCGAGCTCTCCCGGCGCGCTGTCAGCCGAGATGGGTTTTTAGCGCTGAATTTGACCGCCCAGAGTGTCAATCGCACTACACAAGACAAGGTCATGACTTATACCGACATCCGGCGGCTGTTCTATGCGGGCGTCAGCGAGGCCTGCGAGTTGGTCCCCCTATTGTCCAGCATGCCCCCGAAGTTGGCCAGCTACATGGGCATAGCCAAGGGAAGAGACGAGATGCGCCAGGCGATCAACCAGGTCATGCGCAAGATGAACCAAGCGGGCACCTTGTCGCGGATGAAGAAGCAGTGGCTGGCAACCAACCAGGACATGTGTGACTCCCCAGCCAACTTCAAGGAGCTCTCCTGCGCCGACCTCCTGGCCGTGCTTGTCATCATGCCTCTGGCGCTGATCTCCTGCGTAGTCATCCTTCTCGGCGAGTATGCCTGGTCCAAGATGAGATCGATGCAACACGACGGGAAGACGGCACCCTGCCGATACTGGCGGTTGTCATCACACAACGGCAAGGGCACGGTGCTGAACGCATGGGCCGCAAAAATTCAAATCTAGTTGTGTTTTCCCAAGATGTGACGTAATTCTGGGAGATATTTCCCGAGTAGGGAGCAGCTAGTTCGGTGATGTTGTGCTTAATGCATTTTATTTGCCACGCACGGTTACTACCTTTTATGCATAGCCCATAGGGTGCACTACCTGGATATCACTTTACATGAAGAAAACGTACTAAACTAGACAGTATTCTCCTTACGTTTACATCCCAAGAATGATGACCTAGGAGAGGATCAACGTCATCGTAATGGTCAACACGTAAAATGCGCGTTCACCCCGGAACAAAACCGTTTGATATTGGGGAGACCAGCGTCCTGTCCGTCTTGCCCACGTCATCGTTGAGCCTCGTTGTCGGTCGGCGCCGGTGACACCGCTCTTACGCAATGAGTCCACATCCGTGTTGGTGCGATGATGATGATGATGGTGATGATTTGGGGTTTTGGGCGTATGGACTGCTGTAGGTCATGCAGCGTCCATAATCATCATTTTATGCAAGGCCGCAAATCAGGCAAGTGTATCAATCAGGCCACCCTATGAGTTATTGATGGTCAGGCATGGTATCATGATCAAAACATTGCTAGGAAATCTACAGCGTGGCCAATTTTACATTAATATTGCCGTTTTTGCGAAAACATACCTCCTAAAAAAATTCACGCCATCTGAAGTGCTACGAATGCCCAGAAAGTATATTCACCTTTTTGAGCGGCTCCAACTGATTTATTTCACTCGTCACGAGCATTTATCCAATGAAAAATGGCAGTTCAAGTACAATTGACATATCTGAAGCTGCTCTAGGTCAATTATATCACCAATCTACAAAATCACTCAAAAACGCTGAAAGCGCATTGTGAGAAGGAACAAAACGCCGGTGAATCCGACAAAGTAGTCCGTTATGCTCAGTATGTGTAACCTATACGCTACCAAAACCGTGAAGAACGCGAAACTATCCAGTTCTGTACTGCTGACAACTTCTGGGACATACCGGCCTGCCGTGTAATAGTCGATAAAAGGGGGGAGAGATGTGTCCGTTCATGGGTATGTGTGTGGCAGTGCGTTATTCACAAAAGCCCGAAATACCCAGGGAGTAGCCCGACCTGAGCACTGACACACGAAGCTAAAACACACGTGCAAATACAGTCGCTACCGAACGGGATCTGCCGTTTCACTGAACGGCGCTTTGGCGTTTTTTTACGCCTGAGGCAACAGCATTCTTCGCCGTTGTTGCAGACATATGCTTCAGCTTCAACCGCTTCTTCATAGCTCGGTACCGATACATCTTGGCTCTTCATCATCGTTCATGGTTCCCATGCACGCCTGCTTACGCCCGTCGGTGGATGTCGACTAACGCTGACGACGTAAGCATCGCTGATGTCTGATAATGCCACGGACGGAAATTTTGGTAAGATTTCGCAAGCGATCCGCTGCGGAGGATTTCTTTTTCCGACGTCGTTGGCTGTTCGGTGCGTCGGTCGACGGATGTCTAATGACGGAGCGGCAGACGAAAGCAGCAGCAGCACATGGGACGTTATATAACACAGAATATACCGTACATGCATACCGCTGGGCGTACGCGCGGATTGGAGATCCAGAAATGTTGTTGGATGACCGCTGCCACGCTGAGAGGCGCAGCCTGACGCCTTCCGTAATGAGCGGCACCGTTCGGCGTCCCCTCCTACGGTCTTCCGAGCACAGGCCAAAACAAACACTGGCAGCAACACGAAATTTTCACTGTTAATCTATCAAGTTTGCACTTAAGATGCAAACGTGAAATTTGAATCTGCCAAGACAACTGACCCAGGTCAGGTCAAAAGTGTCATATTCGAAAAAAAGTTTCGACTCTGGGTCATCCAACCCACTCCAAAATATAAGTACCAATCTTGCCCACCAACCTGCCGATTAAAATGCGAAAAAATAAGAGGTGTGCATGATAAACAGTTCCGGAGGGCAGAATTTCGCGCGTCCGTCAAACTAGCAGAAGACTGATATCCAACTGCCAGTTGGATATTCCAGGGCGTCACGATCGCTCCAAATTTGGTGCGCAGGACGTGCATGGTCCTCTCAACACACTGATTTCGGAAATCAGTATCTTGGAGGTCGGATTTTGTGTAACTTCCGGGTCACAAGAAACGTAACATGACAGTTTGATATTGCGGGGCGCTTCGATTGCCCCCAAATTTGGTTCACAGGGCCTTTTCAACAGGCTGATTTCGAAAATCACTATCTTTGAGGTGGGATTTTGCGTAACTTCCGAGTTACGAGAAGCGTAACATGCCAGTTTGATATCGCAGAGCACCTCGATTGGGTCCAACTTTGGCGTGCAAGGCCTTCTCAAGACGCTGAATCTGAAAATTGCTATATTTGGGGTGGTATTTTGCGTAACTTCCAAGCTACATGATGCGTGCCACGCCAGCATGACACTGCGGTGTTACGCGTCTTGTTACTCAGAAGCTACGTAAAATCCCATCCCAAAGACAGCGACTTTCGGAATCAGCTACAAATAAAAAAGAAATTAACTTCCGTGCACATCACATGTCAATGTCAGGACTACAGCACTGCATGCAAGGATAGGTCGCTGTCGTTTACACGCGCTCGGGGGGGGGGGATGGGGGTAAAATGACCCCCCCCCCCGACGGTTTTCCCAGAATGGTTTCCGAACGGTGCGGCGCAGCCGCGCCAAACTTTGCATAGATGTAGACAGTTAAATAGCGGATCCTCTGACACCAGAAATTTAGATATACCTTGTTAGCGCTGACCTATGACAGGTCAAAGCCAGGCCATTGTTTCAGGGAAGGTACTTTCTAGGGAATCGTTCAATCCGACCAAACACAGAGTGTTAGACCGAAGCCAGACGTCTTTGAGATACTTTCTTAGGCAACACAACAGTGGAATAACAAATAGCATTGACCTAGCGTCAGGCATGAAGGTAAGACCACGATCAAAACCAACCTGTTTTATTACTCTCGGGATCGCTGTATGGGCTGGTTTCTTGTGCTCATTTCTAATACATTGATAGCGGGAACCGCATTATTATACGCCTTTTATGAACTTTTTATGGTCAGATAGGTCACTGACCTAAAATGACCCAGGTCAACGTTTGCTTTTAGGAACATGCTGCCAAGCATAATCTTTGTCGTT